CTGCTTCTGTAAAACCGCCATTTTTTTCTGCTCGGCCACACAGTCGCTGTGGAGGAAATGACGCGCGTTATTCAAGCCCTTCATCATCATCCTCCTCCTCATCCTCACCGCCGCGCGGTTCATCATGACAGATCATCTGTATCGATCGGTATCGATCACTCGATGTCTCCGGAGATGAATGGCGATGATCATAAACGCGCGCGTTCCTCGCGTCTCTCCATCATCAGCGCTGGAGCTCCGGACGCGTGTTGAGATGCTTCACTTACCGCCTCAATAACGCGACGCTCAGAGCGTGAGACGCGACGCGACGCAACGACGTCTGACGCATGTGTCACAGACGCGCGTCATTTATCTGTCGCGGGTGCCAACTTCAGAAAAGTCAAATAAGGGACAATCGTGTTTTTTTATATAGAGAAATCAAAACATCTGTACTGTACCACATCGTGAATGCATAAATAGGCCTAAGGTTCTAAGACATAAACACGTTTGTTTTGGTTAACCTATTTATGTACATTTTAATTCTAAAAATAATTTTAATGTCATACGAAAAAAAAGTCACATGGTACACACTATGAATTGGTGTAGTAATAGGATTTAAAGTATCATCAACCTCTCTTCAAAATGATACAATTTAAATGTTTTTAAATGAATTTACATACATGTGGCATAATATTTGAAAGCATAATGTCTATGAAATGTCAGTCAAAAAAGCTTTTTTTAAACAGTGGCACTTACAATTTTAAACGAATTTTTGTTGCAACCGTGTACAGTACGAATGAATGAAAAAGCATATTTTTCCATGAAAGAGAACTTAGAGAATTAGTACTGGCTGCTTTTAAGACTTTTTTGGTCATTTCTATTTTTTCTTTTTTTTAATGAGGGCCAAGGTTAAGAATATAGGCCTAAGTTATTTAAATGTAAAATGTTTTTTTCTCTATTTCAGCTTAAATAATCTGCCATGTGTTCAACTTCCATTTGACAAGATTGATAATTAGGGTTAAAATCTCTCGATGAATATTAATGGTGACGCCACGGTTTACTGGTAAGCTTTTAAATTTAGTTTGAGGGTCATGGAAGGTTTTTCCAAACAAAACTGAGTTGACAAATCAAATGCACAAATGCAATTTCATTTCCTCATAAAAAGCATAAAATATTCTAAATTATAAAGAAACAAGTTAAAAAAAAAAAAAATCTAATTTCATTTTCATAATCAATACGGTCCAACACTGGATCATAATTTTAAATAATGGCTAAATGTTCAAATGTAGACCTAACCGATCAAATCCTAGATTCTAACGCTACATCTCATGCAACCGACATGCTTCAATACGTTTGGCTTGTCAGTCCAGATGGGCAGCTTTTAATGCTGTAATATAATACCAAGATTTATGTCGATGTAGACAGCACTTAATAAAACAATGCACTTCATATGTAAACATCCACTGGGGCACGCCTAACAACTACTCACTGCAGTAACATCACTTTAACACTGGCCTCCGAGACTATTGCCTTATTATATAAGCTCTAACATATTCAAACAAGCTCCTTTTATAATTGTCAAGATTTCAAAGACATTTAAAGCCTGCTGTGCGTCATAATTTAAGGATGAATCTCCTGTCTGAAGATGTGTTTTTAATTAAAAAGGTCATAAATAAGGGTTACACTTTATTTCGATAGTCCACTTTAGACATTCTACTAACTATAAGTAACTTTGTAACTACATGTCAACTAATTCTCATTAATTTGCAACTACATGTCTACTAACTCTCAGAGTAGACTGTTAGGGTAGGTTTAGGGTTAGTAGAATAAGTTGACAAAGAAAGTGTTAGAAGATATTAAGCAGACAGTCTACTAATACTCTACTAACTGCTAGTTGACATGTAGTTGCAAAGTTACTTACTGTTAATAGAATGTCTAAAGTGGACTATCGAAATAAAGTGTTACCATAAATTGTCCTTGATCTTGTGACATAAGAGATCATTGTGTATAAAAACAAAAACTTAAGTTCAAACTTGATCTGAATAATGACACTCTTGTCTTTTTTTACAGCAGAGTTTGGATTAGTCTCATATTTGATGAAGTTTGCACGACTGATTCTGTTATTTTTCAGTTTATTACTGTGAAGCCGCTTTCACACAGTCAGTAAAGCGCTGTATAGTACTACAGAAACTTGACTCGAAGGTTTTCTGAGAAGAACTGTATGCTTTCAATCAGGTCCGGTTGAGGTCTTACCCGTCGATGCTGTCATAGGAACCGACAGTGAAATGTCTGAAGAGTTTTTTCCTCTCGCTGCGCTCCATTCTGCTCTCTGGTGAACAAATGACAGCATTATAACAGATCCTCTTATGATCAAGAGCATCTGGAAGGAGCTGGAGGAATCAGACATTAATAAAGTCAATCAGCATGCACTGACAAGCGCTGATCAATGAACAACTCGTTCCAGCTTACAGAAACAGCAAAGGCTTTTAACTTCACAGGTGAAGAATAAAGACTGAGAATGAGACTGACGGAACCAGTCCTGTGATGGTCTCTCTCTCTCTCTTAAGCAGACAGTCTACTAATACTCTACTAACTGCTAGTTGACATGTAGTTGCAAAGTTACTTACTGTTAATAGAATGTCTAAAGTGGACTATCGAAATAAAGTGTTACCATAAATTGTCCTTGATCTTGTGACATAAGAGATCATTGTGTATAAAAACAAAAACTTAAGTTCAAACTTGATCTGAATAATGACACTCTTGTCTTTTTTTACAGCAGAGTTTGGATTAGTCTCATATTTGATGAAGTTTGCACGACTGATTCTGTTATTTTCCAGTTTATTACTGTGAAGCCGCTTTCACACAGTCAGTAAAGCGCTGTATAGTACTACAGAAACTTGACTTGAAGGTTTTCTGAGAAGAACTGTATGCTTTCAATCAGGTCCGGTTGAGGTCTTACCCGTCGATGCTGTCATAGGAACCGACAGTGAAATGTCTGAAGAGTTTTTTCCTCTCGCTGCGCTCCATTCTGCTCTCTGGTGAACAAATGACAGCATTATAACAGATCCTCTTATGATCAAGAGCATCTGGAAGGAGCTGGAGGAATCAGACATTAATAAAGTCAATCAGCATGCACTGACAAGCGCTGATCAATGAACAACTCGTTCCAGCTTACAGAAACAGCAAAGGCTTTTAACTTCACAGGTGAAGAATAAAGACTGAGAATGAGACTGACGGAACCAGTCCTGTGATGGTCTCTCTCTCTCTCTCCACAGGGACTTACTTGGTCTCTCTTTGTCAGGTTTGACGGGAATCTCTTCCAGACACCTGGCAGGGAACCAGCCCACCTGCCCTCGACAGCAGCCCTCCCAGAAGCCCCCTTCAGCCACACTCAGAACTACACAAGACACAAGACCACTGAAGCAGGGGGAAACACCACTGATACGGAGGGTGTTTTCTGCCACTTTTAAATTAATCAATTCAGTTATAAGAATGAAAACCACATTAATGATTTCATTAGAAAACTGCATGCAAAATATGTGCCAAAATTGAAAATGAAATGATTGAAAAAGAATTCACAATTATCGCATGAGCGCTAACTCTTTCCTGGGAATGTTCCGTGTTTTCACTGTTATACGCTAGGGGGCGCTGTTACGCATCTCCTGAATGAGTCGAGAGTCACTCGATCAAAAACACAGACCATAAGCATATGCATATGAAAAATAACACTAACCGCGTATAAATGAAAACCACCTAATGTTAGCGAGTGAAATGTGGATCCAGAGAGTGTTAAAGGCCTGTGAAGCTTTGGGAGCGCTGATGGAAGCCATCTACTGCAGCTTTGCTTTGATAATATTACTGAATATGATCCAGATGTAGTGTTTGATAAAAATGCGATTTTCTCAGCTTTTTGCTCAAAATGTTGCTTTTTTAATGAATCCTACCTACATTCAAGTGTTGTTAAAAAAAAAAAAACAATGCTTGAAGCTAGAATAAAACAGATTTTTGTATGTATTGTATGTTCAGATATTCATGCAACAAAATATTCTGGGGGCCGTGAAATTTTAGTGAAAATCAGCAAAAACGCTGGCGGTGGCTGGCAACTTGTCTTCAAAAACGCTGGCGGGGAAAGAGTTAAAAAGCTTTGTAAAAACTGCATTTGCATTTTCTGTTTTAATATATTTCCAGTCTTGCATCGAGATCAAATCACCAACTGCATTTTATTTTTCAACTTGACAAGGACCATGCATTCTGAGTGAAAATTAAATCATTTCATTTTAAATTCTGTGTCCAGTATTCTATAACATAATTGTTAACCTGGTGTTCATTTTTTATAATTGAATTCATTTATTTAAAAAATGGCAAAAAATACCTTCTATAAACTGAAAGGAGAAATGAGAAAATCACGGCCGCATCTAGATTCAGATGAGATTGGACGGCGCTGACCTCTGACCCTGTCATTCTTGTGCAGGCTGATCTCTCCAGCAGCTTGAGGTTGGTATGAGCGGATGGCGATGAAGTGACGGCCGGGAACAGCGCTGTACAGCTTTCTCCTGGAGCTCGGGCCACACGGCCTGCCATTGACACTGCAGGAGCAGAAACACATTCACTCCAGGACGGCATTCAAAACACATGAAGCATTAGAATATACTGACACCCAGAGACAGCCGAGCGCTGCTGTATTACTGGAAGAGCTCCCTCTGCTGTACAAACAGCTTCACATTTGTTAATCAACATTTATTTAGACAGCTCTTTACAACACTCAAAGTGACCAAAGTGCTTTCCAATAAGAGCAAAATAAAACGGTAGAAACAAACGTATAAAACTACAACAAAATAAGCCAAATAGAAAACAACAAAATACATAAAATACACAAAAATGTCACAACATCGCCAGTCTGAAAAAATACATTTTAAGTCTAGTTTTAAAATCAGTGAAGTGGGGTCCTGAACATGTGTAACGAACTGTTGCATCAATTTACTCATAATAATTAAGCCAAAGCTGATTTAGTTTTATTTTCTTGCAAAAATTAAACTAAACGTGTTAGTTTAAGTACCTACAGTCATATATGACAAAAGCAGTCATAAGCAGCACAGGTATATTTGTAGCAATAACCAACAATACATTGTATGGGTCAAAATTATCTTATTATATTATTTTTCTTTTATGCAAAAAATCATTAGGATATTAAGTAAAGATCAGTCACATATGTGTGTGATGGGAAGGGATAAAAGCTTTCTGTTTGTGTCTGGTGTCCTACCATTTCTGCTGCGCGCTCTGCTCGTCCTCCAGGCTGATGGACAGGGAACAGCTGCTCGGGACGGTTCTGCCGCCGCGGCCCGTCATCTTTCCCCGGCCGCTCGGGTCTCTCTGCATCTTCTGCGGTGACAGACTGAGCTGCTCCGGACTCACGGCGCGCGCAACCAGGTTCATGTCACTGTTGGAGCGCAGCAGCGCCCGAGAACCAGAGAGACTGTTCTTCTGGAGAGACCGTCGCTGTCTGGAGTTCAGCGGGACCTCGGGGAGCCGCACTGAGACACACACACACACACACACACGCACACACACACACAGAGAGAGAGACACACACACGCACACACACAGAGAGAGACACACACACACACACACACACACACACAGAGACACACCACACAGACACACACGAAACAGAAGACAGGTCAGCTGAAGAGCAGCCCATAATATATCCATTAAACTGTTGGGACCAAAGATGTGGTTAAAGTGAACTATGAGGGGGAAGCCAAAAAAATACAATGACAAAAATCTTTGTAAGTGTAATAAGCAGTGTTGGGGAAAGTTGCTTTTAAAAGTAATGCATTACAATATTGTGTTACTCCCTAAAAAATGTAACTAATTGCGTTACTTAGTTACTTTATATGGAAAGTAATGCGTTATGTTACTTTTGTGTTACTTTTTCTCATCTGGGCAGGGCTTGCTTGCTTGCTTTTAATATAAACATTTCTATTTTTGGCAAATGTAAAAGCCCTTTCACACCAAAAGTGAAATGAATAAGCCTCAGCTATTCTGGATTGCATGAAGCATAGAATGCAGCAGAAGAAAGTCCAACACTCTTCAGCAATATAAAAAAAAGAAAAACAAATGTCATGTTTATCTAAAGTCATTTTTGTTTATTAGTATGTTTAAATTGCATCATCGAAGGTCGGCAGCAAAGATATTAGCTAATAAAATGGGATTAAATAAAGATATTTTTGTTATTTAATACATTTAATTGCAGGTTTGCATTGCACTGTTTTTATTGATTGTGAGGAACACTGAATGTGTTTGTGTGCAGTGAGATGAGTAAACACATGTTGATATTTAGTCTAGAACTACAGTAAGATCATGTTCACACACAACGCTCTGCACTTACTCCTGATTTCTGTCACCATGGCAACACCAGAGCTGTCACTCAACACATGGAAACAAAGTAACTATGTTACTAATTTGAAAAAGACGAATGACAAATTAAGGAGCTTTTTTTCAACCACTTAACTTTGTTGAATCGAGTCCTCTTTTTGTGTGTGTGTGTTCAGGTGGCAAACTTATAAAAAGTAGCCAAATCTTGAACCACTCAGATTAAGGAAACTATTTAAAAAAATAACAATAATGATGATTTTGCCCAAATGTGTCACGAATGATGATTAATACTGCTTGCCTTTCTCAGCAAGATTTGCCAAAAAGGGAAAATCACTCACACCATTCATGTTTAAATGCAAAGCAATTCATCAGACAATGCATAATTGATTCATAGTGTCTTCATGGACCTTTTAATTAGTAATAACAAGACTGGTAAATTTATATGAATGTGATGTATAAGGGAACATGTGTATGAATGACCCTGTAACAGGTTTCATTTTAAAGAGGGAGATGTGAACAAATATGTTTCTGTTGCACAACATAGAGTTTAAAATCAAACCTGAAGCAGTGACTGACACACCGGAGGTGGTTATTATCTGGAAAACACTCTTGTATGTGGTACTTTCTTATGCAGCTTCCTTAAAAACAGCTCAAGCATCTTATACCAAGTCAGAAATGTCATTTTTAAGCTGCTAGTATCAGAGGCTTGAGATACTGACACACAGTTACTAGAGAGAGAGAGTCATCTGTAATAAACCGATTCAAATCACAAATACCTAATCATTTATACAAAAACATTTTCCTCAGAATCTGCATTTGCTTAGAGAACAAGAAAAAAACCTTAAATTAAAAATAAAACTTCCCTGATCATCAGGTTCACATAATAAACAAAAAGACTCAGTCTAATTCATATCAGAAATCATTTCTTCTCTTCATTCTACCGTATCTGTGCATGTACACCATAATGCAAACTTTGCCACAGAATACAATTAAATCACTTTTAAATGATTTATTTTTAAATATTGATGTATTTTAAATAAACAATGCTTGATTAAAACTATACACTCTTTTCGCAAAACCAAAAACAGAATCAAACGCTGACATTCAATTCAAATAAAACACATGAATAACCCTCATGTTTATTATAATAACGCATGCTTCGTGTCTGTTTGTGGATATGACTGAAGGTCTCCCGCCTTCTCTGTACAGCGTTTTCACACCTTTCTAGAAATTACCCGATTCATACATCATTGTCCATTTAATGTCTTTTAAGATGTTGATAATTTATGTTTTTTTACACAAACTCTATAAAGTGTGTTCGCTTAAACTGCTTTAAAAAATCAGTTCCAGATCGCCCACGGAAATCACATTTCTTGCATCCTCCTTCTTCATCAATGAAAACAGGTCAAACCTCCAGCAATGCAATTCTCATCAGGAAAAACATAATTGATGCTCCAGTCTAGTTATGCCAATGTGTATGAGCAATAAGATGATCAGGACTCTTCTCATATATGACAGCCGGCTAATCAACCGTTTCCATTTAGACCGACCGCTCCCCGTTCTTCATTTCTGAGATGAACTTACTTTACTGTTGCCATAATGCTTCCTTCATCTTCCGTTAACTCTCCAACATCTTATGGTTTTCTAACTTGGTCTTCTCACTTACAGAAGCTCCTGTTCATTTAGTTCTTCATAAACACAGTATGGTCTCTACTGAGTCCTCTGGTGAACCACCTCCTCCATTAACCAACATCTGACCAATAAATCAATAGAGAAACAGGACACAGAGAAAAGAAGAAGGGACACGACTGACCATAAAGCGCATCAGACGAACAACTCTTAGAGAGATCGAGAGGAGAGCGAAAGACAAAGAGCGAGAAAAAGAAACGATATCAGATGTCAGGTTAACACAAGGAGCCCGAGGAGAGCCAGATCTCAGCAGGATTTTGAGGGAAATCTGAGAGTTACGTAATGCTTGTAGCAATCAGTGTTTTCTCAAGAACAAAGGATCAGAACCGGGATCAATGAACATCTGGGGAAAATCCTCTGGCCACGCTTACAGTGACTGAAGAGACGCCTGAACGACAGTCGAAAGAGTTTGTGACATGAGGAGAAACATCTTAACATTACATAAGAGAAGAGCCGAGTCGCTCCACAGACGCTTCAAACAGAGACGAGCGCCTCGATCCTCACAGAACAACATGACAGGACAGCAGCTGCACTATTTACCAGACAATATCCCTATCCTCGGGAACTCCAGAGTTCTTGATTTTTCAGACGTTGAGAAATTACGATTATTTTGAGCCTTATTTTAAAGCTGATCTGGGAGAAGAACAATATTAAGAAGTGCAAGTTGTTAGTGAAGAGTGTCTTGAGCGCACTCGTGCGTTTTCATTTCTCACATTATATGAACGCTCTCACAATGCCATTCATAGCATTAGTGTGTCTGTAAAGAACGCAGAAAAACATGTCTGACACTCTCAATCAAAATGACACAAAACTACCACTTGTGAAATTATTTCATAAATAAATAATGTATATATAGTGTAATGCTGTATTACAAAATGCCTTGAAGTTGCATGCATTTCGATGTTTACAGCTATCAAAGATGGCTGTTTATGAATGCTGCATATGATCACTAAGCAAACGGTGAGGCCAAGGGTCAGGCTTTATTCAAATCAAATTCATTAAAATCATCATTCTGCCAAATCATGAAAACGGTTCACTGGACGCTTTTATTTGCCCTTTGCTTTCCAGATGAAACCATGGGAAATCAAGAGTTTACAAACATTAAGATTTGTAATCATCCCAAACTGCAGATCGTACTCTCGCAACAAAACCAACATTTCAAAGCCACAACGGAGCACACACAAAGAGCTGGAGAAGGTCCTGCTAGAGATGAAATCAGTGTAAATCAACACACCTCTCTCTGCTGTGCACCAGGCAGAACCCATGACCCAAACGATTCCAGTCCCTACAAAATCCCATCCCAGATCAGAGAGCAGGAATGAGTCCCAGACGGCTGATATCACAAATGTGAATAAAAACAGTAGTGTGTGAAAACAAAATACCTCCCGTGATGTTGTGTTGTTTGTTTCGGTGACACTGAGCTGCATCATGTTTGTGTTTGTGTTGAACATCATGCACTCAGAACACAACACACAGTTTCAGAGGAGAATATCTTAAGTGCAGCTCTGGCTCGGCATCGCTCTTAATCCTAGCTGCAGCTCTTGGATTAGTCCAGTCATTTCTTTCACATTAAGACGTGCCCTATTTGCACACACACTGCTGTCTATAGAGCTCTGCTGGAGGTTTCTGATATGGGGTTGTTAAATCAGATGCGGTGTTTGTGGCTCTTACCTACGTCACTTTCTCTGTGCTTCTTAATCAGCTCCGCCAACTCGAAATTCCCAGAGATTATGGCCACCTGCAACACAAGCAGAGACGCTCGCTCTGATTCACATCGTATCTGAGTCAGTTTCATTCAGAGACAAATACTGTAAATACTGTAAGCTCAGGTCAACAATATAGCCTGATGCATCAGTCACATGACTAATGATAAAAGCAAAAATGCAATGCTTAAAAAATCTCTGTTTCATATATCTATAAGATATACTAGAAGACTTATTTGACTGTCAGAAAAAGATACCTTACTAACATTTTCTCGAAATTTTTCTTTTTCTTTTTCCTTATAAATGCTTTTTTTTACAATTTTTTTTTTAGATTATATTTTATCCTAGATTTTATTTTATTCATGTTCACATTTTAGGACTGGAATATGATTAATGATCTCAAGAGCGACTTTAAAAAACTAAAGTGTGTTTTATGTTTCTGATGTGCCAATTTGTATACAAGATTTGCTATTTTCAGAGAGTTCAATTAAATGTTTGTGTTATATTTTGGTTGCATTTGTGAGTGGATACAAATGTAACTGTTTGTATAAAATAGGCACATAATATTGATATATTGATCGCATGATGATGCCTCAACTGAACCGATCAAACTTGCACAAAGTGCCAGAAGTGAACGTGTACTGACAGATCCTTCCTAAGCGTATTGTGTCAGATGATACTGATATCACTGAAAGAACACAATCTACTCTAAAGATTAAGATTACTGTATCATAATGGGATCTCTTTCAGATTTAAGGCACAGATTCCCTGTTACTAACCCAACAGAAACACAACTAGCTCTATTTACATCTTTTAAAAGGTTGCCCAAGTCAGGGATAGCTACGGTTAAAGGTTGCATTGTGTTTTGTGTAACTGAGTTTTTGTGTGGAGCTGAAGTGTGTGATTTCTGAGCATCTCTCAGCATCAGAAACACACACCGCTGATCCTGTCCTAAAGTCATGCCTGCTTGAGACGATGTTCACATGTAAAGTCCATTCGGGACACTTAATCAATTGATATCACTGAAAGAACACAATCTACGCTAAAGATTAAGATTACTGTATCATAACGGGATCTCTTTCAGATTTAAGGCACAGATTCCCTGTTACTAACCCAACAGAAACACAACTAGCTCTATTTACATCTTTTAAAAGGTTGCCCAAGTCAGGGATAGCTACGGTTAAAGGTTGCATTGTGTTTTGTGTAACTGAGTTTTTGTGTGGAGCTGAAGTGTGTGATTTCTGAGCATCTCTCAGCATCAGAAACACACACCGCTGATCCTGTCCTAAAGTCATGCCTGCTTGAGACGATGTTCACATGTAAAGTCCATTCGGGACACTTAATCAATCAGACTACAATTCTGTTTAGTGCTGCTAGTGGCACAGAAAATATATGCTTCACCTATTAAAAAACAAAATAAATGTTTTTATACTAAAAAACACTAAATGCCCATAAACTGTATGGGCATGTATACATAAACTGTACATAAACTGTAATGAACACATGTATAGAGTAGACAATACTGAACTCCACTAGGAAGAGACTGATGTGATGAACAGAGGAAATGTAAAATCTCAGAGGGTTTAACACACTGAATCACTTTCAAACACCTTGCGGTGATTGTTTTCATTCTGCTCAGTTTCTTCTTTTGAATCGTCTAATGTGCTTGTTTGAGAGACTCCGCACATGCGTGCTTGAGCCGTAATCCTACCAGCACTTCTGACAGGAGATTTGTACCTCACCATCTGTAGCCTTTAATCACAGTTCATCCACAAACTACTGGAACACACACACACACACACACAGACACAGACACACACACGC